ACTGCACACACACAGTACTGCACACACAGTACTGCACACACCTTACTGCACACACAGTACTGCACACACCGTACTGCACACACCTTACTGCACACACACAGTACTGCACACACAGTACTACACACACCTTACTGCACACACAGTACTGCACACACACAGTACTGCACACACACAGTACTGCACACACAGTACTGCACACACACAGTACTGCACACACAGTACTGCACACACCTTACTGCACACACACAGTACTGCACACACACAGTACTGCACACACAGTACTACACACACACTATACTGCACACATACAGTACTGCAAACACAGTACTGCACACACACAGTACTGCACACACAGTACTGCACACACATTACTGCACACACACAGTACTGCAAACACCTTACTGCACACACGGTACTGCACACACAGTACTGCATACACACAGTACTGCACACACAGTACTGCAAACACCTTACTGCACACACAGTACTGCACACACACAGTACTGCATACACACAGTACTGCACAAACACAGTACTGCACACACAGTACTGCACACACACAGTGCTGCACACACACAGTACTGCACATACAGTACTACACACACAGTACTGCACATACAGTACTGCACACACAGTACTGCACACACACTTTACTGCACATACAGTACTGCACAAACAGTACTGCACACACACAGTACTGCACATACAGTACTACACACACAGTACTGCACATACAGTACTGCACACACCTTACTGCACACACACAGTACTGCACACACACAGTACTGCACACACAGTACTGCACACACACTATACTGCACACATACAGTACTGCAAACACAGTACTGCACACACACAGTACTGCACACACATTACTGCACACACACAGTACTGCAAACACCTTACTGCACACACGGTACTGCACACACAGTACTGCACACACAGTACTGCACACACAGTACTGCAAACACCTTACTGCACACACAGTACTGCACACAGCCAGTACTGCATACACACAGTACTGCACACACACAGTGCTGCACACAGTACTGCACACACACAGTACTGCACATACAGTACTGCACACACAGTACTGCACATACAGTACTGCACACACCTTACTGCACACACAATACTGCACACACACAGTACTGCACACACAGTGCTGCACAAACACAGTACTGCACACACATAGTACTGCACACACACAGTACTGCACACACCTTACTGCACACACAGTACTGCACACACATAGTACTGCACACACACAGTGCTGCACACACAGTACTGCACACACAGTACTGCACATACAGTACTGCACACACAGTGCTCTCTCTCTCTCTCTCTCTCTCTCTCTCTCTCTCTCTCTCTCTCTCCCCCTGTCCCTCCCTCCCTCCCTCGTAGCTGCCTTCAGTTCACATATCTGAGGCTGCCCAGACCGGTTAAACAGGCCTAGACACCTTTCCAGGAATTTAAAGGACAAGAGTCAATGTGTAATCAATCTGCTGGATGTTTACAAAAGCAGGGAGAGGAGACAGCTGCCTTTAATTCACCACGCTCTGAGGCCTCCACACTCCAGAAAGGACCGCAGAGATACAGCCTCAAGGGCACAAGCACACAACGCGTCTCTGTTGCAGTGATTTCCCACAGAACCCGGCCCTGCCTTTCCAGAACAATAGTTTGGCCAAAACCTGATCCAATTTCCCTCCACAGTCAGATGCGTATGGCTCCTTGGCTCAGTCCTGCGCCGGAGCTACAAGACTAATGTAGCTTTTGATTAACAGAAGCTTATGTAACTCCATTAAGCGTGGAGCTAAATGCAAGTCATTGCCTCATTTGCCTCAAACAGTGTTTGGATTGCTCACAAAATGGTTTCTGCAGTCTGAGGCCCACCCAAAAATGACTGTAAACACTTACCTCAGTATTAAAACCATATGAACAAATGAACCAAAACCCACAGATGAAAGCTCACTCGCTAAATGTAGTTCACTCGCTAAATGTAGTTCACTCGCTAAATGTAGTTCACTCGCTAAATGTACGTGTTCTAAACTGATATCAGCCAATTAAAATCAATAAAAAAGGTTTAATCAATAACCATGACTGTGAGGTCAGCTACAGTTTACAGCATGAGTGCAGGCACTACGTCTGTAAGAGGTATGAGTTTATACAGTCCTACACTAGCAGTGATGCTGTCAGTGTTCTGGAGACAAATATGAGGACCGTTGTATAGATTTAGGAATAGGGAGTGTGTTAACGATGCTAGATTTAAAGGAAAATTATACTCATGTTTCACAGTCTCTTCATAATTCAGTTGTTGAGATGTAAACAGAGTCTTGTGGGAGTTTTTGATAATATAAAATGTAAAAGAAGACTTTCCAAAAGTAATAAATGAATTGAATCATAATTATTCATATATAAGTATTATTAAAGCAATAAGCCACAAGAGGTCATGGGTTACTCCAATTTTATCATGGGAAGGATGTTCTTAGGCATAACGCGAAACAGTAAAACTTCCTTCCCTGTGATAAAATCACTGTAACGCATGGCCTCAAGTGGCTTACTGCTTTTAGAAAACGACAGCCAACATAACATTAGGATGAAATACACAATTTTTCAAAAAATGATTTGAGTTATTATTCATAATAATCAACATAAACAAGTTTTCTGCCAAGAAATGTAGTTCCTTTACACTATGGTATAGTTACCAAGCAACCATGTACCGCTTTTGTCATATAACAATGAACATATGATAACACAGCACTGTTTCATGTAGAAAGCTTTGCTTTATAAGGACTTCTTGGTCACCAGATTACCACCGAGTCTTAGTTAGCGCTAATCTAGCGGCGCCCTCTCCTCACACTGGGGCTGAATCTCAAATGTCTCCCTGCTCCCTACATAGTGCACTACGTAGGAGTTTAAATACTGGATCCTGCAGCCCAACAGTGCATAATATAGCTAAGAAATAGTCATCTGGGATTCAGACACATCCACACTCGATATATGATGCACTGTTTGGCTGTAGAGGCTAAAATTTCTAAACTTCCCTAGCTAGCACACTATTTAGGGAGTATAGGACCATTTGGGATTCAGCCTAAGCTTTTTTAGACTTTTATACTGGCGTTTTACAGTAAATCATAGTGTGAGTACTTTAACTCAAGCCTGTGATATTAATGATGGAGGTGTTTCAGCTGTTTGCTATCTTTTAGCCTGTTAGCTAGCTGACCAGCCTGGTTCTAGTTAAGAACATAAGTTGCCCCTCAGTTTAAACAAAAAACGGTTTCTTACTTCATCAGTACATTCGGTGCTCTATGAGAGCAGAATGAGAACCAAAGATTATTCCATTAACAGCACAAGGTTTTTTCGTGTTGTGGCGCAGTGATACAGAGTTCAGTCGCTGTGAGGCGTCATAGGTGCGGGTATATCATGGATTTTAAAAAGGCTTAGAATGCGGCTCAGCCAATCAGATTTTAGGACTGGAACTACCCATTTTATAAATGGTGGATGAACAGTTTGGCTGTGTGTCTTTGTCTGTGGGTGGCCTTCAGGCATGAGAACAAGGAGGCCTTATGTGAATGGCCTTGAGGTGTCGGCTGTAACCTGATGGGACACACACATACAGCTGAAGTCTGTTTATATCATGAGAACTTTAACAATTATCAGTGGGAAAAGGGCAAAATTGCATATGTAGCAGAAATAACGTAAAAACATATAAATCCAGAAGTAACAGGTAAAGCAAATACAACTTGAAGGTTTGGGCCTGAGAGCAGCCTTGACCTTCAACAACTAAAAAACTATATATATTACTTCTTGGTTTGGAATTAAGAATGGTAAAAAATAGCTGTGACTTTTGGAGATTATGGTGTGCAAATCAAAAGTTTGAAATATATGGGATAAGTCAGAAGGAGCCAGGTGTTGACCCCGTGACTACAACACAAATATAGACATTTTAATCACTATCCAGAACCACCAGTGAACCTACACGTGTTAAGTCACACACAAAAGTACATTTTAATGCACACTGTTTAGTTTTACTGCATAGTTTTTTTTCTAATATGAAAGTTTTCATTGTGATGCTTGGCAAACATTATAGCTTATCCCCCCACCCAATCCCGATACCCCCTTTGCAAGGTAAAACCCAAGGTTCGGCCCACCCGTGCCCATCCAAAATGGCACTTCTGGCATTGCTAATGGTATAACACAGTAGTTCCTAATCCTAGTCCTGGACAACCCCTAATCCAACGAATCTGCTAATTAACAATCCCTTCCTTAATTGACGTGGGTGTTTTTGGCCCCAAAAATATGCAGGACAGGGGGTCCACCAGGACCAGGGTTGGGAACCACTCTTATAACATACCATAATCTATGACAATAAACAAAAATACAGATAAAGTTCAGGCTTTTTATCAGCTACTACTGTTTTTATAAATACCACAGGCCATTTTTGTATATAACAGTATGTCATACAGCAGCAGTCCACAGTCTTGCTTTATCTGAGCTCAAACACATATACTGAAGGGAAACAAGCTACTGTGCAAGCACATTTGTAGTTTACAAAGGGTAGAAAGAGTGTAAATGCACCCTCAAAAGGTACAACCGTGGTCTTAAGGCCCATCTGTGTACCTTAAGTATGTTTTCCCCCAATGAAAAGTATGTATTTGTCCCATTTCATAACCTAAAGTCTTAAAACAGAACCATTAAAATAAAAAGGGTGGAGTGCAGACAGGTTGTGTGGATTCAATACAACTTAAACAGAATTGCAATGGATTATGGTGCAATTCTGTTCCCTAACCAAAGGTACTGAAAATGTACCCTTGAGTGCTTCACCCCAGTGACACCACCTTTTTGTGAGAGTAAGAAGAGAGAAAACGTCTGAGGACTTGTTTGAGAACCACCGTCATACATATTTCAGAAACATATTAGCAAATCTGTTTAAACACCAAACATGTCTAGGCTGGTCAACTAAATGTTGAGTAAACTGAGGAATAAAGTGAGGGATCTGCTTTAAAGAATGATAGTTTGTTTATTAGACAGGTTTCACAGCTCGTGTCACATTAACAAGCCGGTAAGTCATCTGGTGAGGTCATGATGACTGTAGCTTCCACTGGTTGTGTCATCATGCCTCATTATGAAAGGAATGGAAACAATCCACAGTTTCAGTAGCACAGTTTCTCAAGCGCTCTGGTTCAGTCCAGTTTTGGCTTTCAGGATAGATGACACTCAATGAAAGAAAGTCAATATTTAGCTGAAAAATAATAATGATTCATTCAAGACAAATAAGCTTTTGAAATTACACAGATATGTACATATTTTATACATGAGCAGGTGATGTGATGTGGGCCCATATCATGGAAAACCTCATTTTCTTTGTTAAACAGCCTTTGAATTCATTATTTGTGTGATGTATCATTAATAACAACATGCTGAAGTTAGGAGTGTTTCTGCCCAGATGACAGCACAACATAGGACAGCCAATCAAAACAGAGCTTATTTACATATCAGTTGTAAGAGAGGTAAGAAAGTGGTGCTAAAAATGAATAATGAATAAATATAAGATCTGGGCCCATAAAGTCATAAAAAAAGTATTATCTGATTGACAATTCAGCTGTTCTCTTAAATAACCCCAACTTTATAAGAGAATAAACTCTGGCACGTTACAAACCACACTGTGGTCGTAAAGGACGCTATGGAAAGTGGGTCATATGCAAGACAGAATTTGGCACAAATTACCACAGAGGCTATAAACAGACCTGAACAGAAAGAACTATAAAACTGAGGTGTGTCACGTAGCTGATACTAATGGTCAAGTACTAGGACACGTCCACCACGGTGTGAACGAACAAACCAAATGATCTGTTCAGTCCATTAGTAACATAACATATTCACAGACTTCTCTGAAGAAAATGCAAAACAGTAGCGCCATGGTGGAGGGATACATGTAGGTCGTCATGAGGCAAAATAGTCCCTGTAGGTTCACTGGTGGTTTTGGATAGCATATACAGTGGCTATATTTGTGTTGTGGACATGGTAACCTCTGGTTCCTATCCCCACCCCTGTAAAGACATCTGAGTCTCTATAATCAACCATTTCACACCAAACCACCCTGAGAATTTACATCTCAGCCACTGAATTATATAAAATCTTTCAAAATTTCAGGTTGTAACAGAAATTCTCAGTGCATTATGCCTTGGAAAGTCGTGCCACTTTGTTTCCAGATTTGCCATTGCAGATTTCCTGTTCTCCAACAGCTTTAAGGATTGAACAGAGTTCAGTACAGTCTGAAATAGTCCAGAACTTTTGACACAAAACTTCCATTTCCAGTACAGGCATACAAGCGTTCATACAACACAGCACTCCTTTGACCCAACCAATCTGAGTTTTTTTTTCCCTGAGAGCGGACGGACCAAGGGTTGATAATATTCCCAATAAGATCTCAGAGCATCACGGTTATTCAACTGCACCCTCTGTAAGGTCCGGCTTGCTTATTTCAAGTGTCTTTGTCACTACAGGTGCGCTAGGTGTGCACTCAGCATGTGCTGGTATCTGTGTGGCCACTGCTGGACGTGTAGATGTGGCTCCTCTTGGAGTACTTCATGGAGCTGAAGGAAACCCTCATCCTCTCTACAGTCCGGCTGCTACGGCAAAGGAGTGTGTTCTTCACGTGCTCCCGGAACTCCTCCGACACATAGTAGTAGATGAACGGGTCCAGACAGCTGTTGAGGCTGGCCAGACAAAGCGCGGTGATGTAGAAGGCGTATCCATTGTTGGAGAATCCATACCCCAGCAGAGCGTAATGTATCACCAACATCAGGTTACTGGGAATGAAGCACACCAGGAAAGTGACGAGAACCGTAATGATGAGGATTATCGCTTTCTTACGGGTCTTGCCAGCGCTACTTCCCTCCATGTCGGAGTTCCCCAGTTTGCGGAGCATCAAGACATATGCGACTATGATGATCACGCATGGCACGAAGAACGCCAACCCTGCCATCACCATGAAGTAGTAGTAGGGCTTCTGTACGTCCAGAAACATTTTCTGCGCCTGGAAGTTCTTCCGGTTGATGACGTTGACGTCGTGGCAGGTGGTGATGTTCGGGTCAGCGAGTTGGGCCGTCTGCTGGTACAGGTACAGCGGCGTGCTACTGATCCAAATAAAGGCCCAAATTAACAAGGACATGACAATGGCCAGTCTGTTGTCTGTCCTCTGCTGGGTAAGGGGATGAGCCACCACCCAGTACCTCTGGACGCTCAAACACGCTATGAAAAGGATGGAACAGTACATGTTCCCGTAGAAGAAGCCCACCAGAACTTTGCACATCCCCTCCCCAAAGGTCCAGTTGTTGCCGTTGAAGTGGTAGGCGATCTTCAGTGGGATCCAGATGATGAACAGCAGGTCGGCCAGTGCCAGGTTAGCCATGTAAATCGCTGCCGGGTGGATTTTCTTGGACCTGAAGACCAAGACCCATATGGCCATGCCATTGGTGGGCAACCCAACGGCAAACACAAAGATGTAGACGAGAGGCAGGAAGACAGTGGTCAAGCTGCTCTTTAAGGTGTTTGCGGTGACTTCATCAATGTAGACGGTGTTTGACTCAACATCCTTAATTCCAACGAAACCTCGTCCTTGTTTAACTGAAATAAATAAGAAATAATACACAGTATTATATTTGTGTGGTGCGTTTCAATAACAAAGATATTTACAATGTTTAAATATAGCATATTTCCACTTTTACTTTACTGGTACTGAAAACTTGAGCAGCCAATGCTGGTACCATTGTGACATTTATTCTTTTAAAACCATCACACAATCTGAGTGCAGTATTTCAGACTAGCGTGGTTACAGCATCGGATCTCATTCTGCTTTATCCCTGCAAAATCCCTTACGGCATTTTCAGCTCATATCAGCCCAGTACCGATTTCTCAATTAACCAGATAACTTGAGCCCAATGATGAGGACTGTCCAATAGGAATGTCCCTCAGCTCATTTCCTATGGAACAGGCTTGACTTTGGGCTTAAGTTATCTAGGTAAACTGAGAAATCCTGCTCTGTGGAACAAACCCCAGTGCCATCTGTAACCATGTTTGAGAACGTGAATATAAAGTAACACACAAAATTGAGAAGTTAATGAAAACAAAAATAAATAAATAGTGAATAAAAGTTAATAAAAAACAAATTTAATGGCGAATTTGATCCTTTGAGAATCATATTATTAGTACACTACATATAAAAAAATCCATTCAAAGCCATTCTTACGCCCTCAGAGAACGTCTTCTGTGGCAAGACTATGATTCATCTCTAAAGCAGCCTTACTCATGACTGCATCCTAATGTGTTTAAACAGAAATGCAGAACTGTATGCTGAAGGCTGATTACTGTTACCAAAACTTGAGTCATATCTATAATTTTTAGAATTTTAAATCAAATCAAAACAAGCTTTATTGGTCACACACACAGCCATCCCCACTGTAGTACTTATTAGACTGTCTGTTGCCATGACAAACAGTATAAACATTAGCAAAACATAAGATAAGAACATAAAAGAAAGGAAAGAAGAATACAAAGCATAAAATACAGAGATATAATAATATGCATGTCTGTGTATGTACAGTGCAAATGTATGTACATGAGCAGGAGGTAGTAGAACTGAAAGGGGTTCATAAATATTATATGCACTTGTAAATATTGCAGTATGTGTTACATCTGCAGGGTGTACGGGTGTTGTGCAGTACTGAAGCTATGCGTGTGTGCATATATAAACAGTTCTAGTTATCGTCCTGGTTGAGTGCCTGAATGGCCTACGGGAAAGAAGCTCCTCCTCATTCTCTCTGTTCCGGCCCTCAGGGAACGGAAACGTTTCCCTGACTGCGACAGAGAAAAAGAGTCCATTGTTGGAATTGCTGAGGTCTCAGCTTTGGTCCAACACCACTCGCGTTCTAATCTGAATTGACCTGAATGCTATACTCGAAACTGTAAATGGTGATAACTTGTTAACATTTGAATTTAAACATGAATATGAAGCTGTTGACGCCCAATCACTTATAAGCTGTACAGCAACACAGAAGAGACTGAACATGAAAACAGCAATAAAGGAAGCTCTAGATTTGGTTTCTCACACTTCTGTCTGTTTGGTTAGCTTATGTTTCCATCGAAAGTAGGCTTAGGTTTGAAAACTCCTGACTGAACAGCAGCAGCATTTCTTTAAATATGGTTTAACAGCTGGACAGTTTTGAAATTAACTGATGTATAATTAAAAAAAAAAAAAACTAATATAGGTAGTATTAATCACAATATAGTACCAATGTTTGCTGTATGCGTAGGGCTTCCAACAATGTTTGACACAAATACAATATTTTTTATGATTTTCATGCTAAAAATGTGAACATGTATCCAAAAATCTACTGCCAGGACCTGACAGTGCCTGTATGTGTAGCTGTTGCTGCACTACTAAACACAACACTCATAAAAAATGGTTCTTCAAGGGTTTATTTGTAAGGAGAAAAGGGTCTATATAGAACCATAAACACTCAAAGAATGCACATTTTGCATGCTGAATTGGTTCTTCTGATTGTGTTGTATATGGTTCTATATAGCACCAAAAAGGGTTCTTTTATTGTCACAAGCTTGACAGCAGAACAATAGTAGAGCCCTTTTTGGTGCCATACAGAACCATATACAACATGTTCTACGTCAATCCGAAGAACAATTTCACCACAGTTCTTTAAAAAGATGGTTCTTTGAGGGTTCTTTAGTGAAGAGAATGATTCTATTTAGAACCTTGAGTTTTATACAAAACTATCTTATGCCTAAATGGTTCTTCAGATTAATTGAAGATGCATTGTATGTCGTTTTATACAGGACATTTCTGAAAGTGGTTCTACATAGTAGCAAAAGGGGTTCTTATATTGTTACAAATGTTAAAAGCTTGACATCATAACAGCAGAACCCTTTTTAGTGCTATACAGAACCATACACAACACAGTCTCCATCAAACTGAAGAACCATTTCAACACACTCTTAAAAAAGATGGTTCGTCAAGCGTTCTTTAGCAAAGAAAAATGTTCTATATAGAACCAAGAACACTCGAAGAACCCTCTGCATGATTAAAAGATTCAACAAATTGATGGAGAATGTGCTGTAAATGATTCTTCATAGAACCTTTTTGAAAATGGCTCTATATAGCACCAACAGGGTTCCTCCGTGGTTACAAGCTTGATATCATAACAATGGAAGAATCCTATTTGTTGCTATATAGAACAATTTCAAAAAGCTTCTATATGGAACCATGCAACACATTCTCCATCACTCCCAAGAACCCTTTAAAAATGCAAAGAACTCTTTAAATCTTGTGCTCATGGTTCTATATAGAACCAGTCTTTACTAAAAAAAAACCCTTGAAAAAACATTTTTAAGAGTGTAGTAAGGAGAATGGTTCTCTTTGAATTTTCATTTTTGTGGTGAAACGGTTCATCAGATGTTCGGAGTTCATCGTATGGTTCTATATTGAACCAAAATGAGTTCTATTGTTACACGCTTGATGATATAACAATAGCAGGACCCATTTTGGAGCTGTACAATCACTAACTAAAGAGAACCATCTTTTTTTAATTAAAGAGTGCATGAAATATGGTAGATAAGTGGTTCTAAATAGAGACATCTGTTCTAAACTGTGGTTCTAAATAGAGCCATCTATTGTAAATGTTCTAAATCGTGGTTCTAAACAGAGCCATCTATACTAAAATGTGGTTCTAGATAGAGCCATCGCCTTTACTAAAGAGCCCTTTTTAAGAGAGCAGGCCTGCTGTGCTGCGTTGTGATGAATTAGTAAGTGACACCTGAGTAAGACCCCACTCTGACCACTCTAAAAACATTTTAAACAGGAGCTAAAAGTCACGTGTCCAGGTCAAAAGGACAAAAAAAAAATAATCATTGATGTGTCGCGCGAGGGGAGTTACATAAGGTTCTAAAGACGCTGGAAACGCTTCACGATGGGTCGCGTACAAAGAAACAGCTCAGACAAAAGGAGAGGAGCAGAAGCAGAAGCTCACCTGGTGGCCTTGTGGTGGTGGCGCCTCCAGCTTTCTGCGCCGCGCAGACGAGCACGGCGCAAACCAGCAGCGCAAACAGACCGCGCAGCGCAGCTCCAGCTCCAGCCATACCCCTGTAAAGTAATCCCGCTCAAAAAACTCCCTTCAGTCCACGGAACCGCCTGAGAAGCAGCAATGCGCGCGACCTCTGAGCTCTGACACTTTTCTTCCAGACTGAGCGAAGGACACACCTGAGCCGAGCTACGTCACAGAAACCGCCGCATTCTCTCTCTCTCACGCGCGCGCGCGCACACGCCCACGCCCAACTGGTTTCGAGTGACCAAAAAAGAATCTCTCTGGCCTGAAGCACAAAACACTTCCCTATTTCTTTGTCATTTCAAAGGTGAAACATGTTTGTAAATAAGTCTGCCAACACCTTTTCCTCATCCTCATTCCCTCTCCTCTATAAATCCTGCCTTCATTAATAAATACAAGACAATTTATAGACTATTATATACAAGACCCTTTTCCATTCAGTGCTTGAGATCATTCAGAGCGGTTTGGAGTGAAATGGTTCATTGTAGAGACTCGTATTTCGTTACAGTGGTGGTGACAGGAACCAGGGGTCACCAGTCCAAAACTAGTGAACCTATACGTCTCTTCTGAGTTTAATTATGGAATGTTGATGATGGTAAAATAGTGGGATAGTAACGTTTTCTTTCATTTTAGGGATTACTTTGCCTCACAACCTTGGCCGTAACTAGATATGAGGACACCGAGGTCCAGTCGAAATGTCCTCCCATACCGTACCGCATATTTTTAGGTAGCGCTCTGTATAAAAGTGCAGGGAGGATATTCTGATGGCCTAAATCTCCGTATCAGAAAGCGCTACCAGCGTTAAAAGAATAATTAGGATATTTTGATCGTGTAAATCTCCTCATCAGGGAGTAAGTAATAATATTCAGCTGAGACTGTACTGAATTAACGATTAAAACACAATAAAATGTGTTTTACATTAGGTTACTACACTATAGTAATGATATGCGCATGCTCAGTAGGGCCACTTGATGGGTAGGATAAATTGTTAGAACACCGGTGTTGCATTCGATTCAGTTCCCCCTCAGAATCACGTTCCCCCTGATATATCGTGGTTGTGTGTGCGCGTTCACGCAGCACTAAAACAACAGAAGAGTCCTGAGCCTCAAAATAATAATCTAATCGACATCAAAGCGTAGATTTACACCCCTCTTGAACCTTTTCGCTTTCCGTAGTCGCATTGTTTGCTGCTGATTTCTGCTTAGTGAATGCGGCTCCGAGGGCCTGATTCATGAAGGGAATGTGAATTTGAGGGTGATCTGAACTGGCAGCAACACCGGACCTCAGTAGATTCCGAAGGGTTTTTCCACCTTCCTCCATTCCTGAGATTAAAACTAGAAACAGTGCCGTTATGATAGTACAGTCTACTCAGGGGCGCAGAGCAGGATCGCCCAATGAAATGGAGACAGAATATTTATTATTCCACATTTCTGTGATGATGAAGTTTGATTTGTTTTTCTGTGAGCGCTGTCACTGTATTATGGCCAGTCAAAATCGGCCAAGCTCCGCCCTCTTTTCTCAACCCTACAATGACGTGTGTTCGTGATTAACGTTACGACTCCGAGGTCCTTGGAAGTCTCTGGAGTGTTCTTTGAGATTCAGTGTGGAAAAAACGATGAAATCACACAGGGAGCAGTGAGAGGTTCTCAGCTGACCTCCGAACAGCTGGGGTTCGGCCACAGACTGAACCGCCCGCTCTGTTTATCTCTGTATGAGACGCTCTACTCTACCCTGAGAACCAGAGTAACTTTGACAGAGTAACTTGAGATGTTCAGATATGCAGCACACATGCGCTAACATATAACATCGCTGTGGTAAAAATGTACGAGTTTATGAGCATAATTTACATATTATGCTTGTAAAATACAAACTATCATTCTTTTTTATTTTATTTGTATTTTCATAACGTTGCTAGCTAAATCAGCACACTTTAGTCCAGCTCCAGTAGCTGCTCAGTTTAGGCTGCAGGCTCCATATTCAGCTATATTAGTGATTAGATGAGAAATTAAAGCTGGATTTTGTTACCTACACCTAACATATAGAATAACCGGCATGATATATGATATGATGTATGATATATGATATGATATATGATATGATGTATGATATATGATATGATGCTATATGGTATAGCATCATGTAGCTAAGATTATTGAGAAATCGGCAGCTACATTAGACTGTATTTTGTCTCTGTAACTGACAGCATTTTATAATGTATGTTTAATGCATGTTTTTCAGTAATCAGTAATTCTTTGCATCATGAAATGTCTCTACGGAGAATGTGCTGTACATGGTTCTATATAGAACCTTTTTAAAAAAGTGTTCTTCTATGGTGTCAAGCTTGATATCATAACAGTGGAAGAGCCCTTTTTGGTGCTATATAGAACCCTTTTCAAAAAGGGTATATACAACAAATTCTCCATCAATGTGAAGAACCCTTTCATGATGCAAAGAACCCTTTAATCATGCAAAGTTCTCATGGTTCTACATAGAACCATTTTCTTTACTAAAATCCCTTGAAGAGCCATCATTTTAAAGAGTGTAGTAAGAGAATGGTTCTATAAGTTTCTGCATAATTCTGTGCTTGAGATCATCCAGAGTGGTTTGCTGTGAAATGGTTCTTCTTTACAGTGGTGGTTATAGGAACCAGGGTCGTCAATTGTAACCATTTTATATACTGTTCAAAACCACCTGTGAACCTAAACATGTCTTCTGAGCTTAATTATGGAATGTTGATGATGGAAAAGTAGTAGAAAATCTATAAGTAATGTTTTCTTTCATTTCTATTTTGCCACAGAATGTCTTGTATGTATTCCTCCACCATGAAGGGATTTTAAGGCCAAAGTCTTCTCTAAACTATCATAAAACAGTGTCTCAGTCATCAGGCAGTGAATTCATAACCATTTCATGTAGTAACTTTCTGTGAGGGAGCTTTTAGAGGTGGACGTCTGATTCCTATCACCACCACTATGAACAATTCTGACTATGTAAGTTTCTCTAGAACAGAGTGTTTCACAATAAACCACTCTGAATGACTCTGTTTACTTCTTAACCGTTTAATTATGTAGACATAAGAATTTTGCTGGTAGAATCCCACATTTATTTTAGAAATGTTGATGTCAATACTGCAACTAACTAGAAAATGTTCCTGTCCACTAAATGTACTGTGGTGAATGTAAACGATATTACAGCACTGTAAATAGCAGACCATAAATGTCCACCATTGCCAGTTAATAATCATCCAGTGTCATAAAAGCTGAAGTTCAGACAGCATTGTGCAACGCTGAACAGTTCCAGTAAAGGAAGGCTCTCTCTCCCCTCCCCCGTTCCACACAACTGCACTGCATCTGCACTTTATACAATGAAGGACAATGTATAATGAATTACCATAAACAAATGCACCAGCTTTCAGCAACAGCATCCCACTCCCATGAAAACATCAACCCCTGTAAAGGTGTAAAACGCAGATTTATTGTAATAAAAAATACATAAACAATATGAAATCAAAAGTTATAGGACTTTATAAGTTATAGAAACTCACGCACACTCTGGAAAACGGTTAACATCATATACAAAACACTGTAGAACAAAAATCTTAAGTTACATTTATAGTTTGTCAGTTACAAATAAATGCTTTTTAAATGTCACAGTAAAAAAAAAACAAAAAAACAAAAAAACATGCAAATATTGAAACATGAAAAGTTCTACCTGTTTTACTGTTACATTTTCCAAACAGGCAGCAACAGGAAGCATTTTAAACCAATGGTAATGCTCTTTACTGGCAACTCACGCTTAGAGCATAAGGCGATGACGGTTGGTGGTTAGCCTAGAGGCCTGTGCACACACATGCTCAAGCCAGCAGGGGGTGACAAAGTCACTTCCATTTCATGCATACATTAAGCTGTAAACAATTGACAGCCAAACTCATTAGTTTGCTCTACCATTGGCCAGGAAAATAGTTCATGTATGCACTTTCTAGTGATTTTCTCCAATATTCTACCGCTTGTATATGGTTTTAATTCAAGAAATAAGTTCATGCCGAGTTAAGACATGGTGTACTACCTTTAATGTGTCCATTGATGAATCATAGTTGTTTAGTGTTTAGTATCCTCTAGTTTTTCTGGGTTGTTACAGGCTTTCTTGTGGAAACACAGACCGGAAGTTGCTCTTTATGTAGTTACACAAGTTTTTGTTGATTGAAGGCACAATCAATAGCTTGTTAGGTTAGTTGAGTGGTACTAATGCAGCCTTCACACTACGGCAAACCGGGCGTTCTACTGTTTACAATAGAGACGCAACGGAAAATTCTACTAATGCAAGTGGCAGCATTCCGTGGTAATCAGAACGCTCCATCAAGAGTTACATTTTTCCAACTTCTGCCCATCGGCCAACGTGGTGGAATAAACCGGATGTTGATAGTTTTGGAGCCATGGATGCCAAACGTCTCGTTGTTGAATTCCTGATGAACTAAGTGTTGTGCAAGAAAAATAAAAGTATACAGAGTTTCCTACTGCCATTTTCCACCTTATCCACTTCCAATCATCCATTCTTGCTGGTAACAGTGTCACCATGGCAACGTTTGCCCAGCTTCATGCCACTATTGGCCGAGTACCACTATGACATGCTGAATGACATTTCTTTACAACACAAACATGAACAGTCTACAAACTTCAACGCAATGGTTTTCTGAAAAAAGCAAATGTACACAATGTTTTGCATATGGCGGATATTTCGTAATCTTGTAGGTATGAGACTAGGAGACCCATCAATTACACCAGTAGCTCAGTGAACCACCAAAATCCTTGACCAGTCCAAAAGTCTAGATTTGAGGACCAGTGACTTAGACGCTAATTTATATGTTAAATGTTCAATAAGCATATCTAAATGACCTGTAATATTAATTATTAATTATTAAATATTAATGAGTTCAAACTGTGCAGTCATTGTCTGAGCACTTCTTACTGCTCTGTCAGAATGACCAGAAAAAAATACAACACATTGTAGAAGTACTATATAAAAATATTGTATACATACACACATACTGTAGTCTTATATGCAGTATAATTAGTTTCACAACACGTCAGTGCACACTGTACAGTCTTAAAAGCAAAGGTTCTTCAGGCGTTCTTTAGTAAAGACAGTGGTTTTGTACAGAACCATGAACATGCAAAGAACCATTTGCATGCTTAAAGGGTTCTTTGCATGGTGAAATAGTTCTTCAGATTGATGGTTGTGTATGGTTCTGTATAGAAACCTTTTGATTTTTTGATTTTTTTTTTATTTTGTTTCTAGCACCAATAAGAGTTCCTTTGGCATCGTAATGATAGCAGAACCCCTTTTGGTGCTATATAGACTTTTTAGATATGACCAAAGCAGATGACAAAATTAAAAAAAGTAGCCCCCAGTTTGAGAACCACTGATGTATAGTGGTACGGTATATGTACCAAGTGTACAAATGGATGACAAAGGAAAAAAATGCAATACATGAGCGGTGAGTACAGATGCTTTTATGAGCCAATTAAGCCATTAGCACCCTACTGTGCTCTGTGCCATGTGCAAACATGCTGAGCAGGAGGGATATTATAGCAGAGCTGCAGTGCAAAAAACCCTCATAACAAAGGCGACTGGCCGTCTGAGAGGTCAGAGGTGTAAATCCATTAGAGATCTGGAGAAAAGTGATGCAGTCAGATGAGTCAGCCTTCACCATGTTCTCCACAAGTGGGCGAGTACATGTGCAGCGTACACCACGATAACTGCACAGGCCTGAATGTTGGACCCCTAAAGTAAGAGGGTCTGGTAGCTCTGTTCTGCTGTAGACAGCATTGTTCTGGACACGTTTCACAGGCCACAAAAGGTCACTGACTGGGTTAATGAGAATGAAACCAATGGAAATCATATGCTACCACTTTCAAAGTCACCAGATTTGAACCCACTTGAACACCCATGGGGGGTTTAGAAGTGACGTGTTAGCCCGCATTCTCCACCACCATCGACAAAACACCAACAATAGTACAGCTTCAGAGGCTATGTGGTGACCCAACACCTTACTAAGTTGTTTTTTCCTTTAATTTGTCACCTGTCTGTAAATCAGGGCTCTAGATCAGGACCCGGACTGATCATAGGCCTACCCAATCAAATGCAGAAAATATTTGATTTGGTATTTGATTTGTTCTCCCTGAGCGCTGTCACTGTATTATGACCAGTGAAAACTGTTACGCTCTCCGCCAAGCTCTGAATTTTCCTCAGACCTCCAATCACTGCTTAGCAACTGTTGCTTTCCCATTGTTTCAGGCCTTCGTACATTATGAGCGCCCATCATGTCCATAACCAGCATTAGGACGCTGAGCTCCTTAGTAGTTTCTGGTGTTTTTTTGAGAATCAGTTGTGACGTAACTACACAAAGAACAGCTGTGGTTCGGCCACAAAGTGGACTGCCCACTACGTTTATCTCTGTACAGGACGCTACGCTGAAGTCATCCAGAGTGACTATGACTTCTTGAGTTATTCTGATATGAAGGGCACAGATGTGAGATGATAAAGTGAGAATAATTAACAGATTGGGTAAAATGCAAACCCCATAACCACCATTTTATGTAGCTGCTCAGTTAAAGTCAGCTCTGTAGGTGGCTATTTTAGCGATTAAATGAGATTTGAATGGTAGTTGAAAATTTTTGTAATGTGTTACCAACACATTATGTGGCACAAAAGGGGAAAGGGAAATTTACTGTTAACTGTTATATCGGTGGCATAGTATCATGTAATGTAATTCAGAAATCAGTAGGTACATTAGATCCATTGTATGTTGTTAACTGTATGAGAAGCCAGTCTTTTCATTAGCTGGGGTTTGGTAGAGACCGACTTTTATAATATATATATATATTTTTTTTTAATGTGTGATTTTGCAGTAGTCACTGAGACGGAAGCATAAGACAAGGTATGACAGTGAATGCACTGCTGTTAGCAATAGGCTACAGTCTGATGTTATGACATTGAATGCCTGGAAATTGTATCTGCTGACCCACTTTTCCACAGGCCTAACCAAAGATGTCTTTCTGCCTACGCCGGTGCTGTTTATAAGCTGCTAGGTAACAGATTCATATGTTCTGCAGCAACACTGGCTGTATTGTGTTTTAGAGGGGAAGCCACAAGTGCTGGAATGACATTTGCACATCAAAAAAACATTTTGGGTCCTCCATATCTAGAGCTCTAGCCTGGCGGAACATTTGTAGTATGTCTGGCAGAGAAATTTGTGGGCTTTCATTTTGCGCTCCGTTTGGCTATAAAACTTTATTCAGTTTCCATTACCCCAGTTAGGAGCATTTCTGTGCCAGGACCATTTCTAGACTGCTTGTTGCACGTTCTTAGTCGCAGTGGCAGAACAGTTTGTACTTCATTTTTTTTTCTGACAGAATACTGTAACCAGGAAAAGTTGTCCAACCAAGCTCAAGTAAAAGTTCTCATTCTTGTTGCCAATGTACTGTTGTGGATACTGAGACCATCTCAGACCTGGCTGTTTCATGTGTATCAGGATTTCACGCGTATCAAACTGCAGTTTGCATAATCTTTACTTTGCATCATTAGTCTTCCTTGGGTGCACACCAGGCTAAATGAGCTGGCATGCACTGCTTTTGGCACCGGAAAGCTCCGGCTCTGTCTGCTAAGTTGCGTCATATCGTAACAAACACCTTGCGGGAAACATGGCAAAACCTGACAGAACAATAAAGCTGTAATGTACTTTCTGAATTCATAAGTGACAATTCGTCCTCAAAAAAGGCAGCTGCAGCAGCTTCTACTGTTCTTTATATATGAATCGTAGTCAAGCTATATGGCAATTTATGGAAGAACTGGTCAGACAGGCTTGTCCACCCTTGCCACTGCATTTAAAGTGGCCAGCTTGTACAGGTAAATGGAGTGAACCACTGTCTACTACAATGTCTAATAGAATGCATTACACCAGGTCTATGACCATCCTGGCTAAAGCATGAGGCCAATTATTTCTTTCAGGAAAAACAATGAACAGCACAAGCGATGGGTTGTGGTATATTAACTAATTTGCACATGACTCTGGTTTCTGATTAGCTGAAACCAAATTTATTGACAAGTGTAAACGCGTGGTTAAGTTTCTATCAGGCTACAATCCAGATAAGCATAAAACGACCAGGTTTAAACGGTCGCCGTAGGTGTTTTCAGAACGTTTCATAAAATACCCACTCTCTCTTCTTGTTCTAGCTCTCCTTTCAGTTCTAGATGCTTTTCTAGATGTGCTTCTATTTTATTCATTTCACACAGATGCAAGTGGAATAGTTATAAGATAAAACAACTAATAGTGTGATTTTGTTTTTGAATCATTAATTCATGACCTACATCTAGATAACACTTGGTGTATAGCCTGACTTATTGCAAACAGAAAGCATTCAGTTGAAAGATGCTGGGGAATGATGGGGAATGTAGTCAATCTGAACAGGCATCATGCATTTTAGCCCAACGTTTTAGCCCAAAACTGTAGGAAATTAGTATCACATGCTGTGTAAATCAAGAAAGATATTACTTCCTTTACCATAACTCAGTAGGTAATCATTTAGACATCGCTTGTTTGGCTGTCCATTTATACCCCTAATCAGATGTCGTATTCTGAGAACTCTCACACTGTTGATCCAGTGAAGACGTGTGAGTTGAATGTGTTGGGGTGTCTGTGGAGGCACTGATAGGTCTGAAGGAAATCTTCATCTGTTTGGATGTTCGTTCGCTACGGCACATCAGCGTGTTCCTCACATGATCTCTGAACTCCTCTGAGATATAATAATACACAAACGGGTCCAGGCAGCTGTTCAGGCTGCCCAGACACAGAGCAAGGATGTAGAAGCCATAGACATCATTCTGAAGCCCTGCCCTCAGCAGAGAGTAATGCACCATCAGCATGATGTTACTGGGAGTGAAGCAGACCAGGAACATCACCAGCACAGTAATCATGAGGATTATAGCCTTCCTTTTCCTCTTATTACCACCGGTATCCGTTATGGACCTGCTGAGGGAGCGAAAGGTCAGCAGGTATGACACAATACAGACCACACAGGGAACTATATATCCCACAGTGCCCATGGTCAGGAAATACCCAACAGGGATGTGTGTTTGATTTAAGCGAGTGACATCGTGGCAGGTGGTTGTGTTGAGATTGAGGATTTTAACGGTCTGGTCATACAGGTAGAGCGGTACAGTGAGGACCCAGACTACAATCCACACACCAACACATACACACACTGTTACACGCCTGTTTGGTTTCCGAGAAAGTGGGTGCACTACTGTCCAGTAGCGCTGGACACTGATGCATGCTATGAAGATAGTGGAGCAGTACATATTCCCATAGAAAAACCCCACTAGGACTTTACACAGTGGCTCCCCATAGATCCAGTCATTGCCGTTGAAGTGGTAGGCGATCTTCAGTGGGAGCCACACGATGAAGAGCAGGTCAGCCAGCGCTAGATTGGCCATTAGGATGGACGCTGGATACTTCTTCTTTGTTCTGAAGAGGAACACCCAGATGGCCATGGCGTTGCTGGGCAACCCCACAACAAAGACGATGATGTAAACAACAGGGAGGAAGACTGTGGTGAGGCTGCTGTTTAGAACCATTTTTGAAGTATCGGTGATGGTCACACCCTGGTCAGTCTCGCTGTGCACAGGAAGTGCAGCAAAGCTAAAGTTACTGGAATTGTCTGTAGTGAGAGAAAGAAGATTCAGTAAAACATATGCTCTTTTTTTTTTTTGCAAATCTGTTGAGCATATAGTAAATGATGGTAACATAAGGCACTCCTAAGCTAACATCAATTGCAAAAGGGCAATGGTCATCCAAATCTTCCACAAAGTTTCTGTGATCATGGTAGATGGCAGTTCTCTGGTGACACTGCATATTTTTGTGCTTTTATCTCATCTAGCACACCTGATTTGACTCATTAACTAATTAACAAGCCACTTGTATGTGGGGTCAGGTGTGTAGAGCATGGCTTCACCAAGGCTGCGTTCAGCCCCAATAAAACGTAACAAAACACTGAGTGTGTTGACATGCAGTCAATAATCCAATCATAATCAGATTTTTGCAGATATCTTAGAGTTCTTAGATCGGAGTAAGGTCTAGAAATCCAATTAAGAAATCTGATAAAGAGGCTGGATTTTAGCTCAGTAACCAGATTTCTCAGCACATGTAAATTCAGATTTCTCAGTCTGTGCATGTGCGTAAACAGACGGCGGTACCGGAAATAAGCGAACAGAGTTGCCGCGAGACGCAACAAAACACTTTTGGAGTGACGCTGAAACCAAATACATGCTTGACGAAATGAAGGATTTAAACATTCTTCATCTTCTAGATGAGGTACGTTCATATTTTCAGGTAAAGTGGTTTGACGTCTTCTTCTGAGAGTTTATTGGCTGGCTGTAAAGCAGAAATCTGATTACTGTTTGACTCATGTAGACCTGGAGTTTCCTCATGATCTGATTACCCAAGTGAGCAGACTACTGACAATCAGATTTTCTGCAGTTATCAGATTATTAAGTGCATGTGAATGCACTCATTGATTAAACAGAAACAGTGGTGCATTGAACACGTTGTGTTAAGTGGCATTTCAAGTATTCTTGGCATACTTCTCAAAGACTTTTCTGTGCCTGATGAAATGGGTTTAAATGAATGTATAATACTTCAAAATATGTCTTCTCATGCCTTGAACTGTTGTGCACACCAAGCTGCAGTGGCTGCATGTGTAGAGAATTTTTTAGAATCCATGTATATATATATATATACACATCGCTGCTGATTGTGCAACACCTCTGACACGCAATCAAATGAGAGAAAACATGAAAGCCTGTTCCACACCGTTTCACACCGCTTTGACGAAACATGTCGTTCAACCTGGAAACTGTTGCAAAATGTTGCACAACGATTTGAGATTGAGCGTGCCCCTGGACTGGGATTGGGAGCCCCCGCTTCAGAACATCAGAGAATAAGGGGAGCCCTAATAACTTACTTATTAAAAACATTAAATATTTTGTAATTAGGGCTAGTAGTGTTAAATTGATAGAAAAAACAATAATCAAAACAACATATCTCCAGTACAAAACCTTGTGTCTCCATTTTTGGCTATTTTGTTTTTGTTTTTTCTAACGTCTAATGAGAATTCATTTCAATCTTTTATTCATCTGAAAACTGAGATGGTTATGTGTTGTTATTGAAAGATTACCTGTTTTATATTCACTTTGTACATGAATGTTGCAGTACCAGTTCTATCCAGGTGAGGGCACTGCCAAATTGACCGGCGTTTTCCATCCTTGATCTTATCCTGCACATTTTAGAACAGGGGTGCACCACTCCAGTCTTGGAGGGCCGGTGTCCAGCACGGTTTCAAAGTTTCCCTGCTTTTAACCACACCCACTTAACCTGGAATTAACAGATGAGTGTGATCAGGTGTGGAGCAGGTAAATCACCAAACTGTGCTGGATACCGGGCGTCCAGGACCGGAGTTGTGCACCCCTGTTTTAGAACTTTCCCACTTTTTGACACACCTACTTCAGCTCAGTAAGGGGCTGCTAATGAGCTGATTCACTGGATCATGTGAATTGAGGGCTTGGAAGACACCAGTGGTTTGTACCATTGCTAGCTCCTCTCATACACTTTACCACTGTATGCTTAGTACCTCAATAGGAAGGGACACCAAAATTGCATGGGCGTGGGTTTGTAACCGTACCGTGCTGCACTGCCCAATGAAAAAAGGCCATTAAATGGGCATGTTGGGAACCAGTGGAATGGAAAAAACAAAATTTTGTAGGACAAAATGGAAACATATCCACTAGTGGTTCGCTTAAACTATCGGGCTTGTACATATTTCGTTTAACACATGGTGTTTGTGAAACATTGCAGCAAAAGTAAAATTCTATACATAATTGGAGAAAACTCAATCTGTGGGGGTGAGGAGAAGTCATTCCAAATTAGTCATGATGATTAGTTTTAGTAAATAGTTCTGCATTTAAGATCTGACCATTGAATGAGGATGACCTCACAAGCAAATTCTGTATTAATGTGTGTAAAATAATATTTGACTGTTGTGTTGCTTGATGAACACAGTCTATAGTTCTTCAACTACATTGCATGATGGACAAATTTCTTTTAATTGTGATTAATATTATATTATAAATTGGTTTGCTATAATAGTCAAAGCACAAAAGCACAAAATGGCTAATTCTGGCTGATAGAAATGTACGTCCCTTCCATTCATCATGACACCAATAATTCAGTCTTTTAAAAGGGAAAGTCTCAGAAAATTGAGAAAATGAGCTATTCTTCTGGACAGTAAGCGTTAATTTGCTCAAAACTTACCAACATTGGAATAAATACAAACAAACATACAAACAAAACACGGTGTTAGTCAGACCATTTCCAAAGTGCTCCTTGAGGAAATCCAGCATTTACAGTCATCATTCAACACCTGGTTTATATAATCAGTCCTTCACTCTTAAAAAAAAAAGATGGTTCTCCAAGAGTTCTTTAGTGAAGACAATGGTTCTATATACAACCACAGTCACTCAAAGAACTCATTTGCATGCTTAAATGAAATGGTTTCTCAGACTGATGGAGAATGTGTTGTACATGGTTCTATATAGCACCGAAAGGGTTCTTCTATTGTTAAAACTTGATGTTGTAACAATAACAGAACCCTTTTTGATGCTATGTATAACCATTTTCAGAAAGACTCTACATAGAACCGTATACAACATATTCTCCATCAATCTGAAGACCCATTTCACCATGCAGAGAACCAGTTAAGGACTCTTTGAGTGTTCATGGTTCTATATAGAACCATTTTCTTTACTAAAGATCTCTTGAATAACCGTCTTTATTAAGAGTGCTCATTAAACTAAATCAGGTGATGGGATTGAACGAATCCATGCGATGACAGAAACCAAACCTGTGTTACTGCTGAGAACTCACTGATCTTATCAGGCTTACAGTGCCCCAAGTAATGTTTATTAGGTGCCTTCAATTTTCCCGACAGCCCTAGATACACAGCAAGATATGCTAGATTTCAGATCTTCTAGCACAGTGCGTGATCTGGGATGGGTCATCATCCACATTCACATATTCAGCATTTCCAGTTTGGTCAGTATCTCACAATCTGGTTTTATCTTTAATAAAAAGCTACAACTTGAAGTTTTACATGAGCTTTACATTTCCTTTGATTCCTGCTATGAGTAAAGTTACCCCAGGAGCTCATGTCCTTGTTTGCTCAGATTTTCTCACAAATATTGTTTGGTACAAATGCCATGGGAACTCACTAGGTTCATACGGCCAGCCGTAGTTTGGGTAGTCTTCTGGAGAGGAGACATCAGATGTTGGCTCTGTGTAATAACGCATGGCGATATCTGTTTGGACAGAAAGTAGATTGAGGCTCTGAGATTGATAGATTGCTTGTACTGTATCATAAATATTGTGGACGATTGCTACTTTCCATACCTTTCAGCAGCAAAGAGAAAGAGAAAGAGGCTTACCTTCAAACATGTAGGTATTGTTGAATAAGTCTATCAGCACTGCAGAATTTCAGATTAAATCCAAATGTGTGGCTGTTAGTGTTATTATTATTTTTTTAGTTTAGTGAAGTTAGACGGCTGTGTTCACATTCCGTTTGTCTTCACTAACAGAGAAGAGCTGCATACTTTCAGTGGTGTGTGTGTGTGTGTGTGTGAGAGTGCGCGCGTGCGTGTGAGTGTGAGTGGCTGCCACGCCTGTTACCGAACACCCTTCCAGCGCTGTGGGTTTGCTGTCTGGACAAAGAGAGAGAGAAAGGGAGGAAATGGAGCCTCAAGGAGCTTAATGGATGTTAATGGAGCTTCAGTGGAGATTGATGAAGGAGATTTTCTCTTAATTCCAAGCACAATGCTGCCCAAATGACATTTTATTTAGTTTTCTAGTCAAAACAGTCATTAAATACAAGTTTCTCACTTAACAGTGCCAGGAAAAAAAAACCAATAAAACACTTATTTAACAGAAAAACACAGAAGCCTCAACAACTAAGTCTGATCTCAGATGTTTCAGTGTTTACTGTGTCCACTCTTTCCTTTCATTCCAGCGTCCATTCTGTTCAGGAGACTCACTTTCAGTCCCTCAAAGAATCTGCAGACATGCCTCCAAAGTTCAGTCTTAGAAGCTGGTTGATGATTTTCTGAAGTAATCAAACACATTCAGTGGTGTTGAGGTCTGGACTCCAGCACCAGCAGCTTCTCAGCTCAGCAGTGTGTTTGGTGTCATTATCATGCTCTGGAATGAGTTTCTTCCAGCTTAAATGTTTTCCAGAAGGTATTGCATGATGTATTAAAATGTCATTTTTGTGCTTATCAGCATTTGTGATGCCCTTTATCAAAATAAATCACCAGTGTCTGTTCTCAGTAAGTTCTTCTTGACACATCCTTTCAGACCCTGAGTGGTCTTCTCACAGTGGAAGGATGGACAGAAACACCTGTGGATGTTTTCAGATCTGAAGCAGCTTGATTTTCTCCTCTGTCTGGAAGATGAAAGCTTTAAGCGCTGTTTATCTGATGGGGACAGTTTTGGTGTCTACCAGGTCTCTCGGGTGGTTGTTAGGAGTCCAGTTTTCTCTTTCCTTACGCAAGTGGATTATCTTCTATCTAATCTCCTTACAAATATCACAGGTCACGACATGTTCCCTGAGAATGAATCATCAGTTGTGTTTTTCAGCTGAATTTCAACTGAATGCCTCATTCAGTTGAATGCCTTCTTGCTAAGGGTCTAGGTTCGATTCCCCAGCCGGGCAGCCGAGGTCCTTTCTGTGTGGAGTCTACATGTTCTCCCCTGTGTCTGTGGGGGTTTCCTCCCACAGTCCAAAGGCATGACGTCAGGCTACCAAATCTCAGATCTCAGATCTGTTTTAAGAGTGAACGTTGCCAAGCAACGGCATAAACCGAGTTAACCATAGTTACATTTGTTTAGAGCCTAGTTTTTCAGCAGAGTGAATCCAACCTCACATTTTAAAAACTACACTAGTACACTAGTACCAAGGCTCACTACAGATTTCATGCATTTGCCTGCATCTTTCAGCCAATGGGATCTTTCGTTTAGAACCAAGACGGGATGCTTTTTAAATCAAAGGCAAACATGTTGCAAAGCAGTCATCTGTTGGTCTATTCTAAATGTTGACCTATTTCTGCACACATTTGTTATGTCCTCCAGACATTTTAAGTCATTAAAAACCTTGCCAATAATTTTAAAAATGGCGGCTTTCTAAGAAATCTGTGGCCCCGGGCATTCAGCAATTTATCTCTAAACATATTTTTGCAATATAAATCGTGCAACCCAGGACAACACTGTCAAACATCATGCTCACAATCCAAACATGGACCTATTGTCTGCTGGACGCCGGCCAGGATAAATGCCTAACGAGTTTTCACAGGCCATTGCTTAGGTTATGTTTGAGGAGCAGATATATTGTTTTGGCTTTGTGTAAGGAGCAAATACGCCCTGCAAGAGTCCTTTTTAACACATTTGTTGCGATTTCTGGAGGTCATGGTAGTGAAGCTGCATAGAAAAGGCCGCTAGAAACTTTCATAACATATTTGTTTTTGAATTCAGAGGCTATGATTATTATGCATCGCAGTCATTTGTTATCATGCCATCCTCATGCATTCGCTGCAGTTTTCAGGCAGAGTTCAGGCAGTATAACAAGTTCCCGCATAGTGATGTTACCGTTATTTCTATTGCACCATGGTGGTTTCACTTGTGAGATTTTTTCCTGTCATATGGACACTCCTGCATTCCTTTTCAGTACCTTTGTGCATTAATGTTCATAAAAACTTGTCAGTCAAATATTTTACAGCCAGTGGTGGACAGTAACTAAGTAAATGTAATTTGTTTCTGTACTTAAGTAGTTTTTCGTGTATCTGTACTTTACTGAAGTATTTCCATTTTGGGTGACTTTTTACTCCACTACATTATGAGAAATCTGTCGTTCCTTTTGGTTTATGTGTGTACAAAAACATAACATGTCAAAACAAAAGAAGAGAGAAGCAAGAACACCAATCAGGGTCACAGCACGCACTTTGCTTTGAGCTTGTTTTGACCTGTTGGACATACTGACCCAGTGCAAGCATACAGTTCAACATCAGTGCAGTGTCAAATTTTGGGAGAGTCTATTCAACATAAATGATGAACTAACCTAACTTTGTGTAAATAGACCACAATATAGAAATATGTACACATATGCAGTTGTGACTGACGTTTCTTTTTCTGAATTTATACAAACATTTAATTTTATAGTAAATTAGTTTTGGCTAGTTTATGTTTATGAACAGAGACCTACAGATGCAGTTTAGTAAAGGAAAACTCATTTGTGAATCTGAGATTAAAGTTTTTATTAAACTTAAACTTGAAACTAAGTCCAAATAAATCTTAAACTGAAACTTTGCTTGTTTGTAAAAAGTGATTTCAGAGCCACTCGGTTTGCCTTCAGTGTTTTGTGTTTATGATAATTTTAATAGACATCAGCATCACTAATTAATGACACTCTATTAAAAGACTGGTAACCAAGAGTGACACTGGAGTATTTTCATCTAAAATTGGTTAATGAAGCAAGAGTCTTGTTACAAAAATGATAATAGGACATCAGAGTCATAATTAATCTTTTAGTACTTTTACTTTCGATACTTAAGTACATTTGAAGGCAAATACTTTTGTACTTTTACTCAAGTGGAGGTCTAAAGGGAGGAACTTCTACTTTTACTAGAGTAATATTTTACCTTGGGTATCTCTACTTTAACTCAGGTACATGATTTGTGTACTTCGTCCATCACTGATTACAGCAATGGTGATAAAGAGAGAGGATACAGAATTAATAACAATAATATTTTCTATTTATAGAGCACTTTTAACTTTGGTGCAGCTCAGAGTGCTTTACAGAAAGGTAATAAAGCTCAACAGTAATATGAGTATTAATTATAAATAATCATATACACTCTTAAAGAAGATGGTGCTTCAAGGTGTCACACATCCCTCCAGCAGGGACTCCAATTCCCAGAACCCCTTGGATGATCACGTGACTCTGACCCCACTACACACGACCTATTTGAGTTAGCTTTTTAAGCCCAGGCTTTAGTTTAGACAAACTGGTTCTGTCCCAACAGCTACTGTTTACTCCGTTTGTTTTCCTGTTTCTTGACCTTTTGCTTGTTTATGTTGACTCTGCTTTTCTGCCTGATCACATGAACTTTGTTATGTCTGTTTCTGGTTTTGCATTATTTTGGACTTGACCTTGGCCTGTTTTGTGATAATAACTTCAGAACCCCTGCAAACTAGTAAAGCCTCCGGTTTTTACAGTACGCACGCATCTGACTCATTTTGTCCAGTTACACAAGGGTTCCTTAATAAAAAATCGTTCTATATAGAACCATGAACACTCCAAGAACCCTTTGCATGATTAAAGGGTTCTTGCATTGTAAAAGGGCTCTTCAGATTGATGGAGAATGTGCTGTAGATGGTTCTATAAAGAGGTTTTGCAAAAACAGTTCTATATAGCAACCAAAAGGGTTCCTCTATTGTTACTGTGTCAAGCTTATAACACTAGAAGAACCCCTTTGGGTGCTATATAGGACGCTTTTTGAAAAGGTTCTATGTAGAACCATCTATAGCACATTCATGGACATTTTCCATCAATCCGAAAAAACCCTTTCATGATGCAAAAACCCTTTAATCATGCAAAGGGTTGTTCGAGTGTTCATGGTTCTATATAGAACCATTTTCTTTACTAAAAAACCCTTGAAGCACCGTTTTTTTTTAGAGTGTTAGGCAATGACACAGATTAAATTAAAAAGACATCAAAAGAGACATTGTATTTTAATCATATGCCAAATTAAAGAATGTTAAATGTTTATTAAAAATGAGCTCTGAGCTCAACTGTCTAATAAAAGCTGAACTGAGCTCCACAGTTTAGAAGCAGAATTACTGAACGAGTCTCTCCACGTTTTCTGTGTTTTCCTGAAGGTGTTCAGAAGGTCAGAATCTGCAGATCTGAGATCATAAACAGATAGACGGTCAGGAGCTTTGAGGTCATTTAGAGCTTTAAAAAACCAGCAGCAGAGCTTTAAACTCCCTCTAAAAGTTACTCTGTGATAGAAAAGGCTGAACTTTAGTGACATTTAACAAAAGATAAAAAGAGCTTAGGTATGTAAATTTTGGGGGTGTAAATATTAATGAGTCAAGACTGTTTTAGGACAGTTTAGGATTTGAGAATTGACCACCCTCTTTGGAAAATGTGGAATTTGTATTTGAAGTAGGGGGCAGCAATGTTCGATGTTCACAGTAGGTCAGTTCCATGAACCAAAATCTCCTTATTCAGCTATGCCAGGGGTCACAACCCAAATGTTCAGTAGAGCCGTTTTGTCCTTTCAACAAAAAAACCAAACCATCTCAGGAGCCACAACATTATATATCCATTTCACCATTTTGGCTGTAAATATGTCTTAGTATCTGTGCTGTCTATGTCCTAGTATAGACTAAAAATATGAAATAGACGAAAACACAGACTTACTTTGCTCTGCTTTAAGCTGTAGCTCGGCTATAACTGCTTTTCTCACATCTCCAGCAGGAAACATTTCCTTAAAAGTAGAACAGTTTCTTGTAAAATGTCTCTTAACGTTTGATTCTTACAAGGCTGATGTCAC